AATGGTCCTTAATGGGCCATCAAGCAGGCTAGGCAGAGCTAACACCAGCTTGTCTGGGATGTCACCCAGAAGCATAGCGTAAGTTTGAAATACAGACAGTATAGAGTCAATATTCATAACTTCAACTATAAAATGATACACACATATAGACAGCATAATCATAACCAGTAAACCATAACCTTGTCTAAGACACCCCATTTGACCTCCTTTATACAAGATTTGGGTGCCACTACAGGACCTTGGTTGCCACAATGATCTATATGGTCCCAGATTATATCAATAACGTCACAGAAGCGTTGTTCCCTTTTCCTTCAGCTCCCTTTGCCTGTCTCCCGTTAGAGGGGGCCTTGGCTCTGAGCCCAGGGCTCTGATCGATCCAAGGGCGCAGCCGGTTCATAATGTAGCGGCATTTAAATGAAACTAACGCGAGCCCTTTGCACAGAGTTCCTGTGTCTAATTGAGAGCACAGTTGTGGAGATGTAAAATTGCTGGAGCAGTAAGAACTGCTCAGTAAAAGTGTCTGTCCAAGGTGTGGGCCTCGCCATGCTCCCTCATGGCCAGTTAGCCAGCGCACCGGGGGGTGCATTGCAGGGGGCTTGCCCTGCGGAGCCGGTTAATGTGGGGGGAGCAGCACTCGGTGCACTGTGTATTGCTAAGCAGTGCTGGGCTTACTGCCTGTGCGTTAATTCATAGAGTGCTTTGGTCCCCCAGGCGTGCCTGGGAAGGCCAGCTCATTCCCTGCGCCAGGCCCTGACCATCCAACCGTGAAAACAGAACGTGACCTCAGCCAGCATCTGATATGTCTCTGAGGCGGGCAGAAGCAGCACTTGCTCATGGGTGGGGCACAGTAGAGGGAGCCAGGACTCCTGGGTGCTGTTCATCCCTCTGTCACCCACTCAGTCCCTGTCTGGGCACTGCCCACCCCACAAGAAGTGGGCCTGGCGCCAGGAGATTTGCGTCGTCGGTGCCGTTGTGGCTGTGTTTCCAACGTGGGCAGGGCAGGTGCGCAGCCCGTTGGAGCTCTCTGAAGTCTAGGAGGGAGTGCGGCTTGCACTGCCCGCTCGTGGCCAGCTCGCAGCCGGGCTGGAGGTGTGGGAGACGGGCTTTGCTGGGAGTGAGTCACTCGACTCGGGGTCCAAGGCAGGATCCCTGCCCCAAAAGGGGGCCACACGTTCGCCAGGTCCTGCCCCACATCGAGGGATTGGGAGCCCCTTCCCCTGCCGGACTGAGCCAGGAACGTTCTCCTGGGGGCGCGCGGGGCTGCCCGGCCAATGGGACAGGACTTTGGGAGGCCTGCCAGCGGGAGGCTCCGAGGTGCCAGTTGAGCCCGCGTTGTAGCGTGTCCTGGTCCGTAGGGCGGCACACTCAGACCCCGCTTGGCAGAGTCCGTAGCTGCATGGGGAGCCAGGCTGCCTGCCTCAGGCGTTAATCTCTCCCGCTGGATCTCTCCCTCTGGCAGTGAGGGGGACTCAGACGTGGACTCGGAGCTGGAGGACCGCGTGGATGGAGTGAAATCGTGGCTCTCCAGGAACAAAGGCTCCTCCAAAGCAGTCTCCGATGACGGCAGCTGGAAGAGCTCCAGGTCAGTGTGGGGTCAGCGTCCCCGGGGAAACAGCCACTTGCCATCGCTTCTCCCCGTAGCCACCGGGCGGAGGCTGTCACCCAGCAGCTCTCACGGCGCTTCCCTTCCGGGGACCCCAGGCTCAGCAGCCCCGTGTGGGAGGGAGCTGGTCTCTGTCACTTGGTCGCTTGCCGGGTGCAGGGTTCGCCAGGGCTGGAGCAGCTGTGCCATCCAGGAGGGTGCCCCCCAGCCGCCAAGCACGGGCCGCCCCCCGCCACGTGCTGCCTGCAGAGAACACTGACCAATCAGGGCTGGGTCTGCAGCGATGGCTCCCACAGCTGGCCCGGAGCCGGCGTGATGCTGGTGGGCAGAGCAGTAAAAGTATCCAGCTACCCCTGCTTTGTACCCCTGAGAGGCCAAGCCCCACGGGGAGTGTGTATTGATCTCTGGATAGAGCACTCATTGCTATGGCAACTACGTGCATTGAATTTCAAACATAAATCGGAAGGTACCAAAGATGTGTGAGCTGGAAGCGCTGGAGCCGTGACCGAGCCCCTGGTTCCCACTGCTCTGCCCCTTGGTTCGCTCAGCAGGTGGGATTGCTGTGAGCAGGGCCCTGTCCGTGGCTTTCCCCTGTGCCTCAGGGGAGCACCCGCAGGGCTGGGCGGGCCTGGCACCCCTCGCCTGGAGAAGCGGCTACCTGATGAGTACAGATTGGTTTGGTATAAAAGGCAATTTCCTGCTCTGGATTCAGGGGTCCCAGGGGCTTCTCCCCCCTCCACAGAGCCAAGGCTGTTTCTCTTAATTGGTTTAATTTATTCGGCGGTGCAGATGTAGAGCGTTTGGTGTTGGGGATAAGTTGGCTATCAAAGGCGGCGGCTCCAGGTAGTTGACAATGAAATAATTGAATGAAACGTTTTAAAGGGGGATAAAAGCGATGGGATAGAACAATACCCTCATTTGCATGACATTTCCCAGGAAGCTATTTTCCACTGATGCAAATTATTTAGCTGGGTTTGCTCTGCTGCCTTCCTCTCTCCTTTGCCCGGTGTCTCTCTCTGATCTCACCTGCTCTCTCTCTCCCCCCTCCCTCCCCATTTGCTGCTGTCCACTGGTCACTCTCCTCAGGCCGGCCCTGAACTCGGCCCCCAAGGAGGGGAAGGAAGGCAGAGAGCCCAAGGAGGCCGAGGAGCGGCCGGTCTCTGTCATGAGCTCCCTGAGCTACAGGAAACGACTCAACCTGAAGGACTCTATTGGTGGCCAGGGGGACGAGGAGACACTCTTCTCCACCCTGAGCGAGCGGCCGGCCTCCCCAGACAGGTCTTTCCGCAAGGCCAAGCGCAGCTCGGCAGCCAGCGGCCAGGAGGAGACCGGCTCCGTCAGCTCGTGGAAGAAGGCCCCAGGCAGCGAGGACCCTGATGACAGGGGCTCTGTCATCTCACAAGCCTTCTCGGAGGCCAGCAGCAGAGCCCGGAAGGGGCTGGAGAAGAGGTGGTCTGTCACCACGGCTGACTTTGACCAGGCCTCTGCCCTGTCCGCCCCGGCCAGCCGGGCTGCCTCCTCCCGACACGGGCTGGAGGCTGACGAGGCCGACGCTAGGTCCACACTGAGCTTCACGCTTTCAAGCCCGGGCAGCTTGCGGCGCAGCACGTCCCGGCTCAGCGAGCCGCTGGCTGGCGTCTCCAGTGCCCTCAGCCCACCGCTGAGCCACCGGGCAGAGCTGGGGCTGGAGACCTCGACCCTGGGCAGCCGGGTCGACTCTCGGCTCTCCCTGAGCAGGAGCCGGCTGGATGAGTTGGATGACGTGTCTAGCGTGGCTCTGAGCGACACCCGCTCCCTGTACAGCCAGCATTCGCTCGGGCGCAGCTTCTCTGTGCCCCCCCGGCCCAGGACCTCCGCCTCCAACGAGATGCAGCCGGAGGATTCGGAAATCCGGCCCGTCAGCCACCGCTCCTACCTGGACCCTGACCTGGAGGCTGCCATCAATGAGGTCCTCAACTACAAGCCCATCAAGTTCAAGCGCTCCAGCTTGGACCCGGACTCGGAGGAGGAGGACAAGAGGAGCGTGCGGAGCGCCAGGAGCGCCACACGGCCGGAGAGCTCGGAGCGCTCCTTCAGCAGCCTGCGCCGCTCCGCCTCGGCCTTGGACTGCTCCCGGCCGCACAGCAGCAAGGGCCGGAGGAGCAGCAGCAGCTCCGAAGAGGACTCCTCGGAGGAGGAGCGCAAGAAGAGCGCCAAGAAACACGCCAAGAAGAAGTCCAAGAAGAAGTCCAAGAAGAAGAAGCTGCCTTCGGATTCGGAGTCCTCCTCGGACTCCTCATCCAGCTCCTACCACAGCAGCTCCAGCGTCAAGAAGGGCCCCAAGAAGAAGAGCCCGGCCTCTGAAGGGGAGGGAGCCGCAGAGGGGAGGGACACCAAGAAATCAAGCAAGCGCCTGAAGAAGGAGGAGAAGAAGCGGAAGAAGCAGGTGGACAGCCTGATGATGAAATACCTCTACCGGCCTGAGAGCGACTAAGGCAGTAGGTGCCGAGTGGTGTGCAGTGCAGCATGCCAGCATGCCCGTGTGCCACTAACCCCAGTCACCCTCCACTCCCTGCTGCCCCTTGCCCCAGCCCACCCGGGCAGCATGTCTCTAGCTCGGGGAATGCCTCTGAACTCACTGCCCCGCCCCACAGCTGCCCGAGCCCGGCTAAGCCGGCTACTGCAGCTAAATCAGTCACGCTGGGAACCCCTAATGGCCTCGGGCAGGGCGGCTCAGCAGCTGATTTACCATGGGGGCGGGGGGGGGCTGTAATCCCGGCAGCCCGGCACTGCTCGGTGGCATTGGGGCACTCTGGGGTTTGCAGGCCCTGAATTACTAACCCTGCCAGGGCTGAGCCTGGCACGGGCCCCACCTCCGTCAGTCAGCCTGCTCCTCCCCACTGCTGCAGCGAAGCCGCCTGTGTTCAGCATGAGGCCACATCACTGCTGCGGGGTTTGGCCGGCGCTGCCGCTTGGCAGAGACCGACCCGTTTGGAAACCCGCCGGAAAAGGACGCCACTCCAGCTGCTGCAGCGTAGGGCTCCCCTGTGTAACTCGCTGTGGGGTGAGGCGTGGGGCCTGCCTTTGGCTTCCATACACTCCCGTGTCAATGCAACCCAGGCAAAGCCAGCGGGAGCGCAGAGCACTGGCAATAGTCACAAAGGGTTTTTGCTGCTAGTGTCTCCCTTCCAGGGATTAGCGGCTGGCGCGTGCAGGACACTGAGAAGCACTAATCCCTCCCGGCCTTTCAGAAACCGTTAAGTATGCGGCTGTATTTATTTCTCCTGAAATTAATGGGTCACAGTGCATTGCAGGATCCACCGCTCCCGGTTCAGACCGGGGATTAGTTACTGCAGGAAAGACGAGCATCAGGCTGTATATAAAAAGGCCCTAACAAAGCGCATGTACTGCCAGAATAAACCTGCCGTGGCATGAACAGCTCCCACACCCCACCACTGCAGACCCTCCCCAGTCTCATGGGCAAACTTGAAAAGGCCATGGAAATCCTCAGATGTCTTCATGCCCTGCCCTCTTGCTCTCTCCCTGCTGGCCTGTTGGAAGCATACTGACTGCTTCTGGGGTGTTGTAACTCCGAGCCAGCAGCACCCACACTGACCCCAGCTGAGGGCTCCTTGGCACCCTTAGAGATGAGGCAGCTGGACACAGCCCGTGGTTCTCTCAAGCTCCCACACTGACTGTGCTGGGTAATGTCATGCACCGCTTCTCCACCACGTGGTGAGAGACAAGGCGGCTTGTCACCAAGATGGGACAGTGCAGGCGTCCCAGAGCTCAGGGGTGTTCAGCTCAAGGGTGCCGGTTCAGAGCCATCTCTACGTAAAGCAGAACCAGCTGCCGCTACCATCAGCTCCGATATAGAGAGTGGCCAGCAGAGACTACGCATCCCAGCATGCAGTGCTGCTCCAATCAAGCTGGTGCCTTGCATGCTGCGATCTGTCATCTCAGCTCTGTAAGGAGGAGGTGGCTCCACGGGCCGGTTCCCAGCCCCTTGGGCCGCCCTGTATCGGAGTCCCCTTTCGCAGAGCTCTTCCCCCCGCTTTTGGGATTCCAGGCAGAGTGGTTTACTGGGGGTGCTTTGAGATTCCCCTTGGCCCACTGAGGGCCGGGGGTGCTCACCATGTGATTGCTGCTGCTGAGTTTCCGTCTGAGCCAGGGGATGTTACTTGTGCACACCGACGGGCTTGGCCTCTCTCCCAGCACCCCGGACAATGGGCTAGATTGCGCCCCCACTTCCTGCGCGGGGACTGTGGGCTTGCGACGGGCCGGGATGAGGACTGGAAGCCTCCAGCAGAATGGCATGCGGGTGCAGGGAGCCCCCTGCCCAGGCCGGAGTTACTGCCACGCCCGTTGCCAGGTGTGTGTTGTGTAGGCGGGGGGGGGGGGGCAGCCGTGTGTGTGACTGCAGCTTAGTGAGCAGCACTGTGCCCGAGGCGCTCCAAGGGCGAGGCGGGGCGAGACTTGCTGGGCTCTAGGCCCTGCCCTGGGCACTTCCCCTGGAAATGGAAAACTCTCCGTGAATTCCTCCCGCTGGGGGTGGGGCCGTGTGATTCTCCCCAGACGTCCCATGAGCAAATCCGGTGTGGTGCTGCGCACGGAAAGCAGGCAGTGCCATGGGCCCCTGGGCATTCCCTGTGGGCTAGGAGTCCTCTGTGTAGCCCCCCAATTCCCTGACCATTCTGGGATTAATGGGGCAGCTGGTTACCTCGAAAGATAGACGCCCCCTTGCACAGGTACATATGGCATGGTGCGGGCGTGGGTCACTGCTCTGGCTGACTGTGGCTGGGCTCCCTGGAGGAACCGGGCCTTGTTCTGTAGCTCTGGTCACTTTGGGGTTCTTTTTTAAGCAGGCAGTTGGGTGGGAGATGTGGAGGGATGAGCCGGAAGCGGCTGGGCTCGGGGAGTGCCGAATGGTCCCAGGACCCCACCTTCGGCAGCACAGCTGTGCTTTTTAAGCTCCCAGGAGGAATGTGGGTTGAAGCTGCTGAATGCTCATCTCAGGCAGGTGTTGTGGGGTCACTGCCCCCCCAGGATTGTTGGAGGGACCCAGCACTTGGCATATGACACAATCTGGGTATTGAAATGGCAGCATTTCCAGCTAGCTCCCCACCCCGGTCAGGGCGCAGGTTGTGTTAGGCTGTCACTAGTCCGGCAGCCAGGGGGGAGCCGCTCTCTTTGCTCCTGGTGGGCACCCGGGGGCGAGGCGGGAGATCTGCAGGAGAGGCCAGTCAGGAACGGCAGCTCTGGGAAGGCTCTGCAGGGAGGGGGAAGGGAAGCGACTGCGGTCGGGGCCAGGGTTTTTTCTAGCAGGAATTTATTTGTGTATTAAATTGTTTCCGACAGCTTTGAATGGGAGAATTATCTGAGAAGGAAAGAAGCTTTTTAAACAATTCTTTTAAAGTGTTCAATTGCTGGAACAATCCCCTGCAGCTGGGGCTGCCGCGCTGCTTGTTTGTAACGTGTGTGACGCCGGAGCTGTCGTATCAGCAATGGAGGGGCAGTTTCTCTTGTCTGGCCAAGGCTGGCATTCAAGGGTTTGAATCAGCGGCTGACGTAAGCGGGGGAAGGCGCAGGCTGGTAGAGGTGAGGGGAAGGGGTGTGAACGCTCCATGACTGGTGAGCAGGACAGATTAACAGGCAGTGACGGATAATGTAGCCTCGCACCTTCGCCGTCTTGAATAGAAATGAAATCCACTTGTGAGCTCCCCCGGGTCACCTGGACTGCGTGGCTGCGCTGGGTTCCCGGAGCTGGGCGAATAGGCAGGGAAATGTCTGTAGATGTTGGATGGGAAGATGAGGTTGAGTTTGTCGGCGCGCTCACCCCACAGACCCTCCAGCGGACGAGTTTCTCTAGCACAGACGCTCACACGAAGCAAATTTCAAGTGTGAATATTTGCTGATGGCAAAGCCCTTATTTAAAATTTGCGCTGTTGCTTAGTAACAGTTATCCAATCAGGAAACTTAAATGGTCCCATGTGACCTAAATAACTGCCTACCCAGCGCAAAGTTCAAAATTCAAATAGTGAATTTTCTCGTCTGCAATTTCTTTTCACAGGGAAAAAATAGGTACAAAACTTGAAATAATGGACGAATTCTGCAATTTCACAGTCTTCTCGCAAACGCTTCCTGAGCAGATAGAGGTGCAATTCAACAAATGCATGATTTGTTGCAGATTACTTGCTTAGCTCTGCTAACTCCAGGGGAGAGTAAATCTCTCTAAATGGTCTGAAAATGTCTTAAAAATAATAAAAAAGACTAATGAGCCCTCGTAAAGAAAGCTGCCAGGTTGACAGTCTGCTGTGGCAGAAGCAGTCCTGGGGGAATTCAGCTTCCATGTCAACGCACAACTCTCCCAATTATCCGGAGCTGAATGCTAGTACTTAAAAACCACCCCACCCCCACCCCCGACACACACACAACCGGCTTTTGGGAACAACAGAAACTTTGAACGCCTCCGCCTGGCCCGTGCATTCCAGTGAGAGCGGCCATCCCTGTCTCTGTCCAGCAGAAGGCCCAGCGGGAGCCAGGAACTCTAGTACTGATCTGCTGGGTGTTCTTGGCAATTCAGGGAGTCCCTAGCCAGAAGGGAGCGCTGTGATCATGGAGTCTGACCGGCCCCAACGAGATTCCTAAGGCAGAGCTGCAAGAAAAACATCCAGTTGGGATTTTAAAATGGTCAGGGATGGAGCATTCTTCCTTTGCCCCCTCCCCAGCCCCGCCCCTGGGTAAATTGTCCCAGTGATTAATTCCTCTCACCCGTACAAACGTACGCCTTATTGCCAGTCTTTGTTTAGCTTCAGGTTCCAGCCATTGGGCCCTGTTAGACCTGCCTCTGCTCGGCTTAACAGCCCAGGATCAAATATTTGTTCCCCATGTAGGCACCTCTAGATTAAACAAGTCACCCCTTAATCTTCTGTTTGTTCAGCTACATAGACTGAGCCCCTCTCGGCATTCTAAGGCAGGTTTGATCCTTCCATCATTCTTGTGGTTCTTCTCTGAACCTTCTCCCATTTATCAACATCCTTCTGGAATTGCGGGCCACGGGATTCCAGCAGCAATCACGACAGAGGTAAAACCACCTCTCTGCTCCTACTGCAGAGTCCCCTGTTCATATATCCAAGGGTCGCATGAGCTGTTTTGGCCACACAATCCCTACGTCCTTTTCAGAGTCCCCCATCCTGTAAATATGGCCTGCCACCTTTGCTGCTAGGTGTGTCCATTTACAGTTAGACATAGTACAGCACATTAGCTGCATGCACCCAGCTTACCAGGTGAGCCAGGTCACTCTGGATCAGTGACCTGTCCTCATTACACTCCCCTCATTTCTGTGTCATCTGCAAACTTTATCAGTGATGATTTTATGTTTTCTATGGATAAAAATGTTAACTAGCGCCGGACCCCACTAAAAACTCACCCGCTCCATGACGATTCCGTATTTCGAGGCCTGTCAGGTAGCCAGCTTTTAATCCACGTAACCTGTGCCAGCTTCATTTGATAGCTTTCTAGTTTTTAATCTAAATGTCGTGCAGTACCAAACCAAACACCTTCGAGAATCTACGTATATGACGTCAACACTATGACCTTTATCAGCCAAACCTGTACTCGTGTCAAAAGAGAGATCCAATTAGTTTGAGCAGGCCTATTTTCCATATAATTAATTATATTACCTTCCTTTAATTCTTCATTAATCAAGTCCTGTGTCAGGGGCTCCATTATCTTGCCTGGGATCAATGTCAGGTTGATAGGCCTATAATGACCCTGGTCATCCCATTTACTCTTTAAAAATTGCTTTCTTCCATGTTCTGGACACTTCCCCAGTGCTCCGGGACTTATTGAAAATCCAAACTCCAGCAAGCTCCTCAGCCAGCTCTTTTAAAGCTCTTGGATGCAAGTCCCTTCCCTCCTTTCTGCCTGTTTCCCAATCTATAAAGTGGGCCCCTGTCTCAGAGCAGGGTCTGGGTAGCACCGGATACGGCCCTGCGGGTATCTTGGTCCAGTGTGGAGTAGTGGAGGAGAGACGGCAGTGCAAGGTCCTTGGGTGTATCTGCTGTTGTCTCTGTCGGATGCTCGCAGGGACATGTGATGGCAGCCCTGCTTAGCTGCTCCCGGGCCCAAGGCAGGGCAGAGCGCGTGGGCAGGGCTCCTAGCGCTGTTCTGAAGTGTGTCCCAGTGCCCAGTAAATGTTGGGACATAGTAGTAAGGCTCGGTCTCCCTGGAGTCCCTTTGATCTGAGTCTAAAGCCTTTTGCAGATGTTAGTTACGCCTCACCCCATGGCTGGTACCCCTGATTGCAACTGGGAAACTGAGGCAGAGCCCAATCCCAAGAGCCTGCGCTTGGGCCACCAAAGGACAGCCCATCCCCTAACATCTGGGTGTTCTCCAGGGGTGGGGGCAGGCTGTGCCGGTGGGCTCTCCCCACAACGGACGTGCCCCCTCGCTATCTCACTCCTCGGGGCTCCGGCGGGCTGGCTACAGAGCCTGGGGGCCCGTGCTCAGGGTTGGGAGAAGGGGGCACTAGGAGGTGGCGGTGCAGAAGGCTGCATACAGGAGCAGAGCTGCGCCAGGGAGTTCGGATGCCTGCGAGTTCGGCTGGCCATCAGCACAAGATAATAACGCACTGAGCCGGGAGACACACATGGGCCGGCCCAACCCTGTGCTGCCAGAGGGCCCCTTCCCCTCTGGGGCGGGTCCATGCCGCGCCACACAGGCCCCCAACTCCCTATGCCCAGCCTCCCCCAGACCCGCTTTGCCGAGCGCCTCCCCTGCCACAGCCCCACCAGTGCCCAGTGCCCTGCAGACCACCATCCTTGCCCAGCACCCCCAACTGCCCAGCACCCCACACAGACCCCCCACTGCCCAGCACCTCCCCACAGAGACCCACCCCCATGCCCTGCCCCCTGGCCGCACCCCTCGGCCCTACTGAGCCAGAGCAGATCAGGGATCCCCCTCCCAGCACAGGCCTAGGGGGCAGAACAGCTGAAGCTTGGGAGCACAGAGTGGTCCCAGCCCTACCTGCCTGGTGCTGGTGCCCGCGGTGGAGAAGAGGCGTTTCCTTGCAGGGGTGGGGCAGCCACCAACTTCCCCAGCCCGCTGCTTCTGCAGAGCAAGCCCTGAGGCCCGCCCGAGTGATTCAAAATGGCCCGGGGCTCCCAGCCACCGCTACCGCAGCAACAGTGGCAGCTGGGTGCCCCCAGGACCTTTTAAATTACCTGAGCCCCTGGGCAATTGCCCCCTTTGCCCCCCTCTGTTGGCAGGCCTGCCTGCATGGGGTGGGGGCAAATGGGGGAGCCTTCTCATTTCTGAATGGCGCCAGGGAGCTGGGTGCTGGGGAAAGCCTGGGGGCCTGCTCCTCTGAGCCCCCCCTCCCAGGATAAGAGCCCTCATGTGCCTGCGGAGACTGCCCACCAGGGCCCAGTCACTCAGCTGGCCTCCGCCCCACCAACCCACTTTCCCGCAGCGTGGCCTGGCCTCCCTGCTGCCCAGCCGAGGCTCTGAGGTTTGGGGGTTTGGATCTGAGCCCCGGGGTGGGCGTTGGAAGAAGCCCAGCCCCATAGGGGGGAGCACTGCTGCCCAAGGCAGGGCCTGACATGCATCTCCTGAGGTGATGTCTGCTCTTCCCTGGTTGTTTGCTAACCTTGTTCCCTCCGTGCAGCCCCCCAGGCTACCGCCGGCAGTTCGCCTGTGACAAATCGGAGGAGGAGCGAGCCACTTTGGAAAGCATGCCTAGGTCCAGGGACTCCTCCAGGGGCTACCTGAGTGACAGCGACACAGAGAGCAAGCCAGCGGAGACCTCAGCATAGCCCGGGAGGATGCCTGGAGGGACGCTTTTTCCACAGCCTCAGAAATACTCTGCCTCGCAGATCCATGAGCCAGCCCATGCCAGGCCTTGGCGACCCTCAGACTGGCCTCCAGATTGCTCCTGGCAGCCCCTCGACAAGCGCCTTGCCTGGGAAATGCTGCGTTTACAGATTGTCACCACCTCCGCTGTCTTGTGTGCACCCAGGATTTCCTGCATGGTGGAAAATGTTAATCTAAAGCCCTCTTCTCCAACCCCTCCCTCAGAGCGACTGCAGACCTGTCTGCGCCTCGCTGGCCGACAGCGGCTGTAATACCCTCGGCTGGGGTGAGTTGGCATCTCCGGACCGGACCGGTCAGTGTTCCTTCCCCGAGGTCCTGCCAGCTTGCCCCACCCCGTGCGACCCCCGTGCCGCTCCAGCCTGGGGACTGCTCCATTCTCAGTGGAGGGGAAGCTGAGCTGGTCTTCAGGGGCTTTTTTCCTCCTCAGTGCCTGCTGTCTTTTATTTTATAACTTAACCCCCCAGCCCGTGTGTGTCTGGGCCGACGGGAGGGGCCCTGGCAGCCCCCGTTTCCACTGTCACTCCTTCCTGTTCAGCTGAGCCAAAGAGGACGCTTTCTTACCTGGCTTAAAAAACCCAGTGAAGAATGAAGCTGGTTTCCCGGTGCAGCTGTCAGTGGGGTTCTGCATGTGACAGCACAGTCCAGGCACGCCTGGGTGTGCATCTCGCACACTCACGCTCACTCTGCTGCTGCATGTGGGGTTTCCTTGCACATGGTTTTCTGTTTCCCAGGCATGGCAATTGATTTTGAGTCATTTCTTTTTCCAGGGGCTGGTGCCTAGCACACAGTTTTGTTTAAAGTATCCTTGAAATAAAATGTACCCCTGCCCTTGTCCACACACATGTGCACACGCACACACACGGTGCCTGGAGAGTATACATGGGCAGGCGCTCCACAGCACACGCACATTCATTCACACGCGCACTGTCTGCTGAGCCTGTGGGCAGGAGCTCCACAGCGCCTCCTCTGGTCACAGGGGGCCGGAGCTCCAGAATAACTGCATCTGCTCGCTTGGGCGTGTGCCAGAGCTCTTCTCCGCAGCTGCCCCCCTTACTGACTCCACTGCCCTCGTCGATGCCAAGGAAGCGGCTTATCTCCCTCCAGGACTCAGTCCCCCAGAGCCAGCCGCGCGGGTACGGTCATCTCTGCTAACTTCTCAGTGGCTGGACTGGACACTGGAGCTGCCCAGCCCTGCCTGTCTGGTTTGCACTAGTTCGGCTGTGTGTCTTTTCCTATCCGTTTAAATATTAAATGTCATTTATGGCTGGTGATGCCGGCTCCTCCCCTCAGGTTGTTTGTTGCTGCTGCCAGCAGGGGGAAGGGAGGCGAGGTGGGTGCTGGGTGCGGGGGCACCACTCAGCCAGGAAGTGGTGGTTTTCCTGCGGGGCAGCAATGCGAAAGCTGCGCGGGGCGTGGAGCCTGCGGGGGCAAAGCGTCTGGAGAGGGATGGGGGGTGCAGTGATTTGAGTTAACCCAGCGTGGCAACAGCCCAGCTTCCCCCCTACGCCTATAACAGAGTGTGATTGTTCATGAACCAATCTCTGGGCTGCCGTCCTATGTGGTGGCTCCCCATCCACCCCCAGGCGGTGTCACAGCCTGGCTCCTGGGCTTCCCTTGTGGGGCGAGCCTTTGCCGTGATGCAGGCTCGTGTCTTGTGGCTTCCCTCTCAGGTCACCCTGCTAAGTGCAGGGTCAGGCGCGTTCACTCCCAGCAGCTAGTGAGGAGGCTGGAGTCCACCCCCCGCCAGGGCAGAGCCGCTCAGCTGTTGGAGCTCCCTGGGGTGGGCTGGGAGCTGCTGAGGCTGGGGGTGGGTGGCCGGCCAGGGGCAGCAGAGGCTCTGGCAGGGCTTTCAGGCCCAGCTGACCTGTGGCTGACCTGGAGCTTTGCCTCCCACTCCCTCCTATCCCTGAAGGCTCTCTTAGCCCGTCCTCAGCAGCCCCGTGCTGGAGCCTGGCGCTGTTAGTTCAGGGCCTAGCCACCGATTATCTCCCAGCGGCTGCCTGGGCCACTCCAACCCCTATGGCTGTTAGTATAGCTCGTGCCGCTGCGCCCTGCTCTGGGCTGGCATCCCCGGCCCGCTGGCTGGTGCTGGGGAGAGGAGCCGGGGATGGGGCTCGCCGGGTTTCAGGTGCCAGGTGCTGCAGGAGAAGAGCTGCCCAAGGAATGGGCAGGAAATCTCAGCCACAAATCTCGGCTTGTTGGAGCAGATGGTGCGTGCCAAGCGCTCGGGCGCCGCGGGCTGATCCACCTGGCTGCCGCTCAGCATAATCAGCCAGAGAAACACGTCCCAGCGTGAGCAGCCCCCCAGCAGCCTCTGCCCCGTACACAAGCCAGGTGGGCTGGGCCCGGGGTTCGGCCTCTCAGTCAGGGCCTTGTGCCCCTCTCACCATCACAGCTGTGGCCCTTGCCTGCTTCTCTGCCCCTCAGTTCACCTACACGACGGGTCCCTCCCACCCCCGATCCCCCGAGTGCGCGGCCTCACCCCCTCCATCCCTGCTGATGTGGTAACCAGGCAAACCCCCTGCAGAGACAATAGCGCTGGGCCAGGCCTGAACGCCCATATGCCAGGCCCTGCTTTGCCTCCCCTGGTCCTTGCAGTGAGTCCATCATCCCCGCACTTCTGTTGGGGGCCGGGTGT